ATATATATATATATATATACATTCATGTGATCTCTCCTCCGTGGGGGACGGCCGCGGGGGCGGATGCATGGTGATGACTTACCGGCCAGTTGACGGCTGACCCCCCGGAGCACCCCGGAGCGGTCCAGTGTTTAGGCGCCGTGGCCCCCCAACTTTAGGCACTGACCTCCGAGCCCCGGGTGCGGCCATGCCTAAGCCAAACCACGTGACTTGTTCACTCTCAAACGACCAAGTCCGCAAAAAGTCACTCAGGATCCGGCCCAGGTGGCCCACTTTGTATGGGAAAAACGCGTGGCACGGACCACCCCCATAGTAAAAATCTCCCCATTTGACAAAACTGGCACCGTTTACTGTTGCATGAATTCCTATCACCCAAATGGGGTCGGTGAGTATGTGTAGAGACGAGGTGAAAGCCTCTCTCCACATCTTCCATACCAGGCTGGTCTCTTTCTTGGTTCTGAAGGTTGATGCGTTCGGCGCACCTTTCAGCGCTGGGAGACACCACCCGCCGCAGCGGTGTTACCCCGGGCCCCCCAACTTCATTGTTGGACCCCGGTGGTCGTTCCGTTGCGGTGCCCGAAGCCCGGGGGCTTATGTCCCCGGCACTGCTGGAGTCTGTGGATCAATGGTCGCTGACCATACCTGAAACTCAGATTCCTGGAGGGAGCCGCCCCGCGGAATCCGCCGTTCGTCGGCGTTGTCCACGGGGTCTGGACCCTCCACCCGAGGGCCGTATGCCGCAGCCAGCCAGCGCCCGCAAGGGCGTCTAGTTGGACCTGCGTGCGGACCGGTGCTGAGGGGCTTAGTGGGGGCAATTGGATAATCGCTAGTGTCCCCCCGGTACGCCGGGGGTGCCGCTGCGGTTGAACGTCTCGTACGTTCCTTCCTTGTACTACGCACCGCCCCTTCGGGGGTCCAGGCGCTTGGGACCGCTCGCCGCGAGGCGGGTTGGCCCCCCAGGCGCCTGGCCACGTTAGATACCTGGTTGATTCTGCCAGTAGTCATATGCTTGTCTCAAAGATTAAGCCATGCATGTCTAAGTATAAGCAACTTGTACTGTGAAACTGCGAATGGCTCATTAAATCAGTTATCGTTTATTTGATAGTACCTTACTACATGGATACCTGTGGTAATTCTAGAGCTAATACATGCTAAAAACCCCGACTCACGAAGGGGTGTATTTATTAGATAAAAAACCAACGCCCTTCGGGGCTCCTTGGTGAATCATAATAACTTAACGAATCGCATGGCCTTGCGCCGGCGATGGTTCATTCAAATTTCTGCCCTATCAACTTTCGATGGTAGGATAGTGGCCTACCATGGTGGCAACGGGTAACGGGGAATTAGGGTTCGATTCCGGAGAGGGAGCCTGAGAAACGGCTACCACATCCAAGGAAGGCAGCAGGCGC